CGAAGGTTGCAGCAGAGGAAGAGGCTAGGAAGGAAGCAGAGGAGGCTGCTGCTTCTGCAAAGAAAGCGAAGGAAGAAGCTGAAGCTAAGGCTGCACCTGAGATTGAGGCAAGGAAAATAGCAGTGGAAGTAGCGGTGGCTGAGACTAAAGTTAAAACCGAAGCAGAGGCTGCTTCTAAGGCAAAAGCAGAGGCTGAAGCTGAAGCCAAGAAAATAGCAGAAGAAATCGCAGTTGCCAAAGCAAAGGAAGAAGCTGAAGCGAGGGAAAAAGCAGAGGAAGAAGCAAAGGCCGAGGCTAAAGCTAAAATGAAAGCAGAAGAAGAGGCAACTGCCAAAGCAAAGAAAGAGTCAGAAGCCAAGGCGAAGAAAAAAGCAGAAGAAGAGGCAGCCGCTATAGCTGAAGCCAAGAAAATAGCTGAAGAAGCGGCAGCTGCCAACGCGAAGAAAGCAGCGGATGCAAGGGAAAAGGAAGAAGCTGCGATCATAGCTAAAATAAAAGCTGAGGAAGAGGCCACTGCGACAGCAAAGAAAAGAGCTGAAGCAGAGGCTAAGGAAAAGACGAGAGAAGAGATAGCTGCAAGAATGAAGGCGGAGGCCGAAGCTGACGCCGAGAGAAAAGCAAAGGAAGAACTTGCCGAAGCACAAGCCAAAAGAGCTTTCTTGAGGACTAAACAACCTGCAGAAGTAAATCGTATGTCGGAGCTTGAAAGGTTGGAGCAAGAATTCGGCTTGGGTGACCCGGCAACCGAAGTATTAGAAAAGAATGGTTCATATTTTTCTGCGAGTGAGAACACCGATCAATATGGTTTGAACGAGCCCTCTAAGGATTTAGAAGAGAATGGATCGTATTTTTCTGCTTCTGAAAGAAGCGATCAATCTTTAGACTATCAGGAAAGGATATCGACTGCTGAGGTTCAGGATGATTTCGAATCTTTAAATATAATTCGAGAGAAGCACGATAATATCGAAAAAGAGCAATCGGAGGTTACAGCTCGTCTAGCAGAATTAGGAAGTATACGAGAGCTGGAAGCTGAACGTCAACGTCAGAAAGAACAGACTCGTGCAAAGGATTTACTCTTTCTACAAGAAATCACCGGAGACTCGAATGGACAGATGCGCGAAGTTGAAGAAACAGCAACCTCACTTGAAGAAAACCGACTTGATGACGAGGCATACGAACTAGCTGATAAACTTACGAAGGCCGATGAACAGTACAAACCAACTGACCAAGTGCTGGGAAGTACCACACTTTTGATGAGAGAAGTGGCGGGGCTGTCACTAAAGGATTACAATTCAAAGGAACGATTTTTCTCAGAAAGAGATGCAATGGTGCATGCAGGTAACACCTTATCGGTACCAGTGCGCGTTTCTTCACCTGGTACTATCGTGGAATTTTCCGTTGAAAAAAAGTCGTATGATTTCGGATTTGGTATCACAGCATTTATGGATGAAGGGAAAGTTGAAAAAATTAAGGTACGTAACTCCGACTGAGGTTCAAGAAAAGAAGATACTTTGAAAAGAGGAAGTCAATGTCTTGGGAGGTGGTACATGCTATCTCATCTTGGACACGCTGTGTTTTGTCTGTTGTTGATTGAAATGTGCACCTTTCGATATAGGAAATGACTTCGTTCCGGAAGAAGACCGAAAGTGAGAGCATTGTGGTTCCAGCAGGGTGTGCTCCTTGCACAATGCAATTCAAATTTGCTAATAATTATAAGACTCTGTTGGAAAAAGTTCGCTTGGGTTATGAAATTCGCGTCATTCCTCCGTCGGAAGAAACCATAAAGCTTGGGCGGAGAAAAAGAGCAAAATCAGCTCTAGAATTACTGGAATCGAAACTTTCATCCCAACGCGAAATTCTGAAAACTTCAAACGCTCGGGTGGCGGATTTGGAACGACAGGCAATCGAGTTAGAAAAAGAAATAATCGAAAAGAGTTCCAAACTTGAATCAATCCAAGCTGATGAAGAGCGCTTAAAGAAATATTTGGAATCTGAGCGATCGCAGCCGTCCACAAGAAGAATTGACAGCAACAAGTACTTCAATGATTTTAACTAAAAAAGCCCTTACGAACCGGTAGGGCATAATGGAGTCATAATAATGACATAAAGAGCAAATCTTAATCATATGAGTCAACCAGTATCCCATTGAATTTGTCTCAGGCTTGGTCGTACGTACGTACCGTACCGTGGAACCCTTACTCGGACCCATCTCTACATACGCAGTTTTTTCAATTTTTTCAAACCGTATCGATAGAGGCTTATCGTGTCGTGCTTTAGAATTCCTATGGTACGCTACGATTACTTACATAATTTACGACGAAGACGGCTGAAGGTTGTGTGAGCACCTTCGGTCAACAGAAAAAATGTTATCCAATCAAATTAGAGGACGGTGTTGACAACAGCATTTTGTAACAGGTTTTCACCGTTGTACTGGACGAGTAGTACCGTACGTACCGGCCGGTTCGAAACACTAATCTTAACGAACTCAGAACATCAAAATCGGGGTACAGGTACGAGTTTGTACGATTTACGATTGACGATTGCCCCTTCACTTTTACTGTACATACGGTACTACCGTTCGTAGTGAGTGAGGATACTATCATGTGGGTAGGTAAGATTAGCATACGGTACGTAAAGGTAGCATTCGCACTCGTATCGGAACGGTAGAACGAGAACTTGAACGGGGAAAGAACTCGTTTGCTAGCTTGCGTTGTACCGTAGAAAGTCTAAAATTAATCGAAAGTAGATCTCAACTGTACAAACTCGGTCAGGAAGCACAAAAATCGAAAGGGTAGGAGGCGAGGCATACTTGCCAAGTTGGAAGTGTCGAACACCTCGTTGCTATCAGAACGTACTGGTGAATATGTTGAGAAACCGAAAAAGAACCGCTGTAACCAGCGATCAGTCTATATCCTTTACGATACGAGACCAGCAACGGAAACATTTGGTTGAGCATGGACGCTATTTGAATCGGCAGCAAGAACATCGGAAAGGCCACCAAGGCCGAAATGATAATAGTCGTGAAACACTGTCAACGTTTGAAAGAAGAATGAAATCTGCTCACAGGCGCTCTGGAATGTCAATGGCAAGAGCAGTATTTTTCTACTGCATGGTTGCAACCGTGTATACGGTCTGTTTGCTATCGAGCGATGCCTTCCTACAGACAAATGTCGCCAACGCTTTTGCTTTCAAGCTTCCTAAACCACCGAGAATAGCCAGTGATATCATCAATCGTGGTAGATCAAATGATGACGGCAAACCAATCGCCCCGATATTACAAGATTGGTCATTCAACAAACAGCTTACACAAGATGGAACCATTAAATATTCGCTGAAAGGAACCGTAAGGGGGCATCCGGCCATTCCTGATGGGGACGTGATGACAACTGCACCACTTGAAGGAAAAGCATTGGAAATCGCTACTAATATGCTTTTTGCAGAGACCAAAGGTAACGCGAAAAAAAATCCGACGTACATCATCAAACAACGATCGTCTAAATATTCAAAATTGGTCACCACAATCGCTGGTACAAAATATGCCTTGCTGCCGCCAAATATACGGATAGGCGATGCTCCTCTATTATCGCAGGTGAAAGGTGGTGTCGTGGGTAGTACTGATGGTCAGCTTTCGAAAAGCTTGCCTTATAAGGACCAAGTTGTTTATCTGGAAGAGCAAATAGATGTTGTGCGCTTGTTGGCTGAGCAGGAGGATGAACAACTCAAGGAACTCGAAGAAAAGCAAGCGACAGCTGAAATCACTCGCAATGCGGGGATCATTGTGACTGCAGCGCTGACGGGAGCAGCTTTTTTCGCGGGAGACGATACAAACATGGTCACAACGACAACGGATCCTACTGTAATTCAAAACACAATCGTCGATCCAATAGTAAAACCATCCGCTTCGTCAACAAAAATTGACAATATAGAGGAAATAGAAGAATCAGTAGAAAAGGCTGGTGAAATACAATTTGCTCAACCAGCGAAGGCAGTATTGCCGTATTTAGAGGAACGAATAAGAGCTCTGGAAGAAGCATTACAGGAGCAGCAACAGCAGCAACAACAGAACGAAAATGAAATCAATAAAGACAAACAACAGCGAAACCAAGATGAAGTTGAAAATGATGATTACTTAAAAATTGCTGGAGGGATTTCAGACAATGTCGAACACGAAGAAAAATCCCCAGTGATCGAACCAACAAAATTCGAAAATGAAAGACCAAGAATAGAAACCACGAAAAAGGTTCAGGAGGGCAACAAAGCTGTTTCTTCTTCAACAAAATCTATTAGTACCGCTGAAAGTACCGTTACGAGTATGACAACACCAGAAGGTGAATCGCCGAAGGAAAACTCGAAGCAAACTCATGGATCAAAAAATGGGCTTTCGTCATTTCAGAGCAGTGGCGATAATAAGAGCAATAACAAAGTCATCGAAGAAGATGCTGCTCCTGCTACAATCACAACCAATTATGAAGCAGAAGAAAGTACAATCATAATTCCTGATGAAAAAAAGAAAATCGATGAAAGAGAATTGGGTTCTTCTTCTAAAGCATCGATGCAAATGGGTATCACCAAAATGCTCACGGATGTGAAGGAATCTAACCAGCAGACACAGGGTGGTAGCAATATCGAAGACGATTCTACTCTAATTTGGGGTTCTTCTACCACAACTAAAGACGAAACAAAAACGAGTAAACCGCAAGACCAAGAAGTAGAAGAATCTGTCCACGTGGCAAATGGCGACAACACCATTCGCATGGAAGAAAACTCGGCTCCAAGTAGTGATATTACTTCCAAAATAATCCTTGACAAGGATTCATCAGAGGAGTCGGTTTCAAAGTCCGGAGATTTTGGTCATGAAGGTGATTCTGAGATCGCAAAGTTTGATACCTTGATACTTGAGAAGGTGAAGGAAGAAGGTGAAAAAAATGTTGACCCGAATAACTCACTCGATGCATCAAATAAAGAAAGAATGGCCAAAGAATTGAAGAACAACAACGAATCAACCCAGAAGACGAATGCTGAGTCTTCTGATGCTGGTACGAACATCGATGTGGGTATGACTGACATTCATGTGCCGGTATCAGAAAACGATCCAAAATCGACACAGAAACAAGGGAAGCAGCAAGAAACTACGATCGATATTAAACTTGAAGAGATGAACCAAGAAAAGAGATTGGCTCGAAACGGAATAGACATTGAAAGGTCTTTAGAATCACGTACGGAAGACTCGCCGGAAAGAGATAAGATACAACTGAAAAGATCGGTGGAAGGTGCCGACGAAGAATTTGGGGAGGTTATCGAGAATGAAATGAAAGAATCTTTCGACGAAGATCTGAGCGAAAACACGGAGGTTGTGACGAGGGGAGAGAGAAAAGTATTGACCAAACAGCAGACTGGAGATACCACAGAGAATGACATGCTGGAAGATAATAAGGAAGAGAAAGTGAAAAATAGT